AAACCATTCACGGGGCTACTACGATTCCATGCACTGTTGAGCAAGCCCTGAATCATAAACAGACAAAAGAACGACGGGAAATGAAACAATCATTTTACATAAAAGCAGGAGCAAATATTTGCACTGTATTACAAAATTCAGTCCGATATGATTAAGAAGGCGCAGATAATTCATTATGTGTTCTGCTGTACAACAAAGATCTATGCATTGCATGTCCATCGTTATCTATCATTTTGAGTGCCCAAAACAAGCCATTATGGAACTTTACAAACGGATAGCTATCGTCGCGATAATATGCACAGGAGTTTGTTTGGCTGTTGATCCAGGTAAATTATTTTACTGATAATTATTTACACCCTGTTGATGCTCATGCAGACATAATTCATAATTTTGTTTGTTGACCTAAATCAGAACTCAAGTTTGTCTTTCAATGAAACCGATGAACCTATATTTGTTTTTACCTATTCAGTGTTTTTGCAACGGTAATGATTAATGTATTCTAAAAAAAAAAAAAAAAAAAAACTTTTGCCTTTATCTCTCCCACTCTTTTATTCATAGTTAGTACAATTACAGTTTGTTTCAATCTAGATATCAATATGACTACAGTCAGGCGCGTACGCAGGATTTTCCAAGGGGGGGGGGGGTTAATATTTATAAATCGGGCCCAAAATTTCGCAACGACTCAGCCATCAGCCAGCCGCTGAATAAGCGGGGGGGGGGGGGGGGGGGGGGGGTAAGAGTACACTTTTTGTTGTTGTTAGGGTCTCGAAATTTGAAAATTTGACATTTTGCTTCGTTGGGGGGGGGGGGGGTAAGGTCAGCTTTTTTAGGTCAGCCATGGGAATATTTTTATGTTATTTTTTTATTTTTTTTAATTAAAAAAGAAAGAAAAAAATCCAAAGGGGGGGGGGGGGATTTAGGGAAATTAGGAGGGGTTTACATACAGAAAAATACCAAAGGGGGTTTAACCCCCCAACCTCCCCCCCCCCCCCCCCCTGTGTACGCGCCTGACTGTGCCCCCTCTGCCCCCGGGAGGGCCGCCCCTGGTCTGTTTCTTAAAAACATAATTTAAAACTTACCTTCCAACTACCAAACAACAAACTTCCATTATCTCCTTCTTCACCCAGATATACTTATCATACCAGATACGCTCTAAAATATAAGCACAATATTCCCCTATAAGGCCCTGACCAGAGCACTTATTTTTTCTTCAAAAACTATAACCAGTCTTAGAAGGTGCATTATTATTGGAAGGGTGTTATAAACAAAACTTCGAACACTAACCTTCAAAAATACCTTAACTATCTTATGCTCGTTACGTTTGAATACATAATAGGCCGACATCAGTTTTTCAATAAAACAAAATTAAGTTGTGACGTAATAATCTTTCTCCAAAATATCGAACTGGAGTATTCTGTTGTATTGCTTGTTTACGTACATACGAAGAGCTTATTTTCAAGAGGCAATATATCCATGTGTGTAACTTAAGAAAAAAAATCTCTGTTCTTACCCGATTTTGTTCAGGTGTCTATGGAAAATTGTTACTAAAAGATGCATGCGTTCATAATTTCTCCCGTAATTTAGGTTAATAATTTTGTTCAAGGTAAATTGTATATCATTATTTCCTTTTGCTACCAATAGATTTTGCTCCTTTCGGAAAATAGCTCTTCAAATGTTTTACATGTAGAGATACAAATAAACAAAGAAATTGATGAAATCAATAAAACAAAATAGATACCGAGTATGAATCAGGCCGGGAACAAACTGAAAGTTTCGTCTCCTACATGCTGCCATTTGGGCAAAACCGTCTTTCTCTTCAATGATATTGAATATATTTTATTGCTTTACTTGCATTATAAAGAAAAAAGACGCATCATCAACCCCACATAGCTTTAAAAATCACTTCAGATTGAACTGGCAAAAAGACCTTTAAGAGTTCTTTATATTGAGGAATTGGTGATAATTTTTTCTTGGCAATAATGCCCAAATTAAAAGAGTTAAACAAATACACGACTGTAATTTTTAGCACGTTTTGAAAAATATTTTAGGAAATATCAGGAAATAAAATGAGTGAAAAAACAAAACAAAACGGAAACAACATAACAACTAGTGAACTATCTTATAAGTCATAGCAAAATGTGTATATTGATGGTCATCTTGCGAGTAATAACCATTAACTACTCACATCGGGCTCTCATCATTCATTTTTCACTTCATTTTTTTTTTATGGTTAATTATTGGGGGGGGGGGGTGATTGTACAGGCCACCCCCACCTGAAATATGTGGAGATATATACCCCCACCCCCCCCCCCCCCGGGATTGACACCCGCATGGACTTGGGAGTGCATGGGCAGCACATGAAGGTGTTTGTGGTGATCAAAGTTCGATTCTGAACTTCTAACAAAAGTGAATCCCTTCTCGAAGATGGGGAAGTAAGTTTGGTTATGGCAGATTAAGGGCATTCGTCCCGGCATTCGTATAATCAACATTATATCCTACAATTATTTTGAGTGCCGCCGCTTTTGAACAAATTCCTATTTATTAGTCTCGTTGATAGTAATAGAAGTGTAACAAATAGGGGTAGCATATTCGAGAATGGGTCTTATATAAGTTGTGTAGACAGCCACCAGATCAGCCAAACTTGCCTTTGATATAGCGTGTGTACAAGCTACGCGATGCTTTAGCAACAATTTCTGCAATGTGTATTCCATTTCAGATCATTTTGAATTTGAGATTCTTTATATTATTGAGTCGGGTTGATAAGGTGGAAATCAATACGAAGTGTAGAGTTCCTTAAAAATGATATATAGTCATGAGATTACATTTCCTATAGGCCTACTGAATTTAGGGAAAGGCATATGTCCATTGTCTTGTCTTTCTCGGGTTTGATGATATGAGAAGTTTGAATTTTGTCTGTTAAAAACAACAACATTATTTTTATGCGTTGACAGATTTACAAAATGTTGCCATTTAAGTTGAACTTTCTCCACGGTATTTTAATTTTGGCATTAATCCTGTCTAGGACTTACTCAGTGTGAAAAAGACTATTCGTCTACCTTTCATACTCGCTGTTTTTATATTAAACAAGCTTGATTGTGTTAGATATATAATTTTCTAAGAGGTCAAAGGTGTATCCAGCTTTTTTAGCGATAGCACAGTGTCGTACTGATAAAGGGACACTAAGCGATAAGCGATAGCCTACAAGGACGCCCTCTGATGAAATAAACAATATAGTGATAAGATGTAACACGGGTTGGATATGTTTTTTGTTTTTTTAGCATAGAAGGAGAGGAACAGGGCGAGGAGAGAGGGCGAAAAGAGAGAAAGAAAAAAAAAAGTGAAAAAGAGAGAGAGAGAGAAAGAAAGAAAAAAAGGTAAGTGAAGCAGACTTTTAGTAGTCAGAATCGCTCCCGTGCCCAGTGCCCCTATCCACTTTTTAAATACCCCAGAAGACCCTATTAAATTCAGATGAGTGTCCATTTTCTTTCTAATAATTGCCCCTTTTCCTATCTAATTACTTTTCTCGGCCCATCAAGTGCCCGTTTCCCTTCCAATTAAGTGCCACTCCCCTTCCCCTTAAAAAAAAATAGGGTGTGTGCAAATAATGATAAGTTCTCCTCGTTACTTTTGATATAATTGCCCCCATTTTTATCCCTGTTAACGAAATGTAACTAATGAATTGTGCCCATTTGCGAATCACCTAATGTGCCTAGTATCAAAGATTTGGAGCAGGTTTGTACGTGTAAACTCCCGACTCTTTTTTCTACCACTACGATGGAAGACAGTGGAGTCTGGAGCGGGGCAGGAGGCACAGTGACAGTGCCCCAAATTTCATAAGAACGAAGTGTGCTCCTTTTAGAAATATAAACATGTTCCTTTTTCAGAGCTATCAAACGTCCCTTCTCTAGGCCAAGGTAATAAATTGCCCTTGTTCAAGAATTAAAATGTTTCGACAATGTAGAGTTTTCAAACTCAAGGAAACTGAATTTACATAACCAAATGATAAAAAATTTAAACAGCTATATATTATGACCAAATGCTGTTATCGCCCCTCATCTACAGTCCCCAGAAACAATAAATTCATCATAGCCTCGCTAACACTTGCCCCTAATTTCAAACAATTGAGAGGAGGTATTATTTCTTTTGAACGTCTTTCTGTTCTGTTTGGGGTCCTGCTAATTTGTTGACCAATAAGGACGTTAATCATTCAAAGTGAATATGTAATATATTCAATATATTTTCAGCCATATCACTTTGCAATCACATGGAGGGACCCTGTTTGCATTGCTCCTATGGACTGTGTCTCAGAGCCTGTCTTTCAAGGTATGCTTCCAGGGGAAGGGGATTCCAGCCCACATAAGTCGTTAAATTTTCATAAAAGATAAGATAAGATAAAAGATAAAGTAATTTGTTTTTCACATCTCTTCCATGCACCTAATATTCATGATACGCTGCTGTCTGGAGCATGTGCAAACATGCAATGTGCATAATGCAGGTCGATATCCTCCACAGATCCCATTTTTGAATGAAATCAAAGCACTTTGTCAATAAATATGTTTCCTTTCCTATATATTTTGTAATTCATCAACAATTTGTTTCTTGGGTCTCAAAAATGAGGGGAAAACACTAAAAACTCTATTAATTAGAACAGAAAGTAATAGTGTAATAGTGACACAAGTTGTATCAAAGTTAGGCCTACCTCATACAAGGTTATTACCCATGAATACAACTTCAAATCATTTCCTGTTTCACCGAAAATTTTGTATCCACTTTGTTTAAATGAAAAAATTATGAAGAAGAATCTTCATAAATGTAAGATGCAGATATCCGCTCCAACGTCATCCAGCGTGAATGATCCTACTCCCCCCCCCCCCCCCCCCCCCCCACCCAACAACACAACACGCCAAAACTCTTCCTTGGAGTTGGAGCACGCGAAGCAACCAATCCTCATCATCGCGATCTGTGTCGCTTCATTCGATCAAGAGTATCGCGACAGATTAAGTGCGATGAAGCGTGTGCCCCTAGCCCTTTCATGAATTTGGCACTGCACGTTCGCTCGAATAAAAGCCCAGGTCAGCTGGCGATGCGACGTAGTTTTTGGAACATTACGAGAGCTCACGTCTAGCTTGCTAGCGGGAAAATCAAGAACTTGTTCTTATTTTCGTTTTCAGTATTAAGAGCTGGTATTTGAATTTTTGTGAAATATAATATTCCCATCTACCAACTTTTAGACTGAGAACAATAATGGCGTTATCTGTCTGTCGTCTGTTCACCCGCTCACGGGCCAGCTCTCGCGATGAGAACGGTCCTCTCTCCTCAATCGCAAAAGGCTTCAAGTCAGGTAGGCCTACGGATTATTCGTTTCTCTTTGGATTATATTTAAATCGCAAGACATTCCAGCTTATATCTGTTTCTTTGTTGTTCTATTATGAAAAAATTTTCACGATAAATTGCGTGGCTTTACTGGCTTTTGCTCCTTTGTAAATAACAAACATATACAACGAAAAGAGAATCTATCCTCAGTTCTGTTTCTTTTCTTACTCGCTGTTGATGTAGACAGAAATAACCGTCTGATACGGCCTGGGGGATTCTAAAACTGAATTTTGTCGAAAAATAGAGGTTTCATAGTTCAGTTCAGTTCAGTTCATATTAAAAAACACCCGACATAACAATCAGGACGAACAAACCTGATCCAAATTGGAGCCAGACGATGTTTCAGCGGAACAACCGTTGATATCAGACTGAAGCTTTCAGTCTTCATAAGATGTTGAATGATTGGGAATCGGTAAAAAATCATACATTGGTCTGTATGTCGTTAAAGGAAAGTGGTTCACTGAAACTATGGCTGTGCTGAATCCTTCTAAGAATCCTATATAGGTGCAAAAGCAATGGTAGTAAAGCTAAATGTATTAAGGCAGTACGTATTTGATCACACAGCTTATAATTCTCTGGTTGAATGAGAAAGACACAGAAATGTTCTAGCTTTTATTTTAGGCACACAGGTTATATTAAGGTAGTGCTGAAAATACAAGTAATCTCTTTCACAGTTGTGGTGTTCAAGCTATTTCACAGGGAATAAGGAGTTTGAATAGGCCTATTTATTTTTTGAACTTGGTCAAATTTTCTTGCTTTCTTGATTTGTGCTGGCACATCATGTCTCCAAATTTAGAATGATTAATTTAATTCATGAATTCATGGAGAAAAATAAAATTATATACCATATTCATGGAAGTGGCCTCTAGACCTGCTGAATTGTGTAGAGATCGTGATCAATTAGTTTGATTTGGAGTTTTGTTATAACAATGTAATCAGCGGCATCTAAATTCAGTCAAGCTTACCAGATTATTCTATTCTTCTAATTCTCCTGATTCAATGACTGCTGGCCTGTCCCAGTTATGCCAAGGCTGTCAGAATTGACGCAACTACTATTCTAAGTAGGCCATGCCTACACGTCTTTGTTGGATGTCAACAAGGAATAAAATAATATTATCACACACAGTCATCACTTACTGGTGCAAAGTTGTACAAAGTTGTACAAAATTGTTGTTTGTGGTAGGATGTTTCATTGATTTTATTAAGACTACCTGGTAGATAAAATGGATTTTATTTAACAATTAGCTGATTTTAATTTGAGGAAGATTGTGACATGTTTTCGATATAGATGGTTCTTGAAAGCGCAAGTGAAGAGGAAGTGTTCCAGCGTTTAATGTATAGGAGAAATTATAAAGATATATGTTGTATCAACATATCAGTTTAAGCATTTATATTTGATCTACATTTACATTTTTTCTGCAGCTCACTTATCAATGGCTAATATTGTATTTCAGTTCCCCCCTATTGACATATGATGTATGGCACACAATCAAGTTCAAGTTTATTTCCACCCATAAAAAGATAATGAACAAACCTGTCTTTTACCACTCCAAAGATAAGTTTTTAAATTTGCAATATAATCTTTTGCAATTTCTTGTTTTGTCCTTAGATGTTTAAAATGGTTTTGAGTAATTGCTAAACTCCTAATGTAATTTCAACAACCCATTTGTCTAAAACTCTCATTTGAACTCTTTGGTTTTTTGTTAATATATTTTATATTTTATTTTTAATTTATGCAAAACTATGTTCATTGTAATTGATATGTCTTATTTGTAATTTTTGCATGTTTTTATCTGTGAACTGTATCACAATTCAGCTTCATGGCTGCAAAGATATTTTTCAATAAACCTTGAATTGAATTGAATTGATAACAGTAATATAAACATACATAATTATATAAAAAGAAGTTATTATAAACACATACACATAAATGCATACTTGTGCAAAATACAACAGAAACAATAAGCGGGGTAGAATGAATTAGATTTAGCATGGAGGAGCAAGCAAAGTCCTGTCATAGCCTAGCTCTATTTTAAGATAAAATATCATTTTTAATACATTAGAAGGTAAAATTAAGAAAGAAGAAACAATAGAAAATTGTGAATATTTAATACAAGAGTGATAATCCACAGCTTATGATTAATACATTTATTCAGGAATTTGATATGAATCAAGTGTAGGGCAAGCTTTGATATCAGAGGGAATAGTACGTTTGCCAAAGTTTAGGGCCTTATATAAAGGAATATATATATACCTCACTTAAGAAATCCAGCCATCTGATTGGTGGAAATTGCATTCATAAACTTTAACTATTTCTGTAAAATTCCCAGTAACCATGGTTAAAACAGTTCTAAAATCCCAGTAACCATGGTTACCGGGAAAATAGTTCAGTCTCCATGGTTACCCCATAGGTTTACATGTTAAAAAATGGTTTGAGTGATCGAGGATACTGTACGTGTGCGAAGAATTGGTCGGTATTTTCATACAAGACAAGACAATTCCAAACAAGACAAAAATGGCTCAAGAAACTCTCCCAAGATTTCAACTTATCAAATGCAAGACTCGCTGACAGCAAGAACAACAAAAAGGGTACATGAAATTATCCATAAACATGTTCGTTTAGTTGCTGAAAAAGCATAGATGTAGACTCTAGACGAAAATATATCTAGTTGTCAGGGTGTCTGATCACGCACCCAATGTTGTGTGTTAAAATTCTTCTCATAGAGTTTGCACGCAATTTTTTTTTTTCAATTCGAGATTCAAACCTTTATCTGTTGTGATCCTGAAGGTGATACTCAATAAGTGAGGTGTCATATGAAAGCGCAGGTTCTTCTCCATATTACCCACAGGGCCGGCCCACCCCCCAAATTGTAAAAATATCTTGCTTAGACTAGAATCTAGATCTAGTCTACTCTCAAAGATACACTCATAAAAAAACAATTGTGCAAATAAACTAGAGAAAGGCCAAGGTGGTGTCATTAGTTGACTTTTTTGTTTTCGGCATATAAAAGTATTAATGACTGCTTTAATATTCAAGAAATAGTTGTTTTTATACGCTCTCGGGAAGGTTACAATTGGGCTATTGCCCTCGGCACGCCTCGGGCAATAGCACAATTCTAACCTTCCCTTGAGCGTATAAAAACAACTATTTCTCTCAAAGCAGTCATTAATACTATAATATAACTTTGGAAGAAATTGATTACCAATATTGCCAGTTAACTTAAACATTGAATAATTTTGTCGCAACCTATAACTTCAATATGTAATTTAGCTCTGGGCCTCTAATTCAGTCATTATTAAGTTGATGAATAGATATAACAATACAGACGTACAAGGTAAAAGAAATGGAATTATTTCAATTTTAAGATATATGCCACTTTGAAATATATGTTGGGTTTCATCCTAAGCAAAAATTTGATATCTGAAATTTTTAAGGCATACAATGCATTCTACATTTTGGTGTAGTAGCATCTAATGACTAGTACTGAACTCATTTCGTGACAAGTTGTACTTTTCATGAAAGAACAAATATAAGTATTATGGGAAATGGAGGTGTGAGTAGAATAACCTTCAGGTGTACTTTAGGGAACTCAAAAGAAGCTCCCTGCCATCATCTTTGTGGTGGACGATTAAAAGATGTGTAATGAACCCAACGTGTGAAGGTCAGGCACGAAGCCCGGATCAGGGCCTTGCTTCACTGGACAAATATAAATGGGCACAAGAGTTTAAGGACACATTCACCAGCACCCTCTAGGAGAAGTCCAATAAACCCCTTTTGTTACAAATTTCCTAATTTGTGACAGCTCTCTAGTATTATTATTACTTCATACATCAGCCTGGGCTGTTATCCCTGGGAACATGATTGAATCCTTTCTTTCATCAACATCTCCACTTTATATTCCTGGAGTTTTAGGCTTACTCCAGAAATGTTGTTTGATAATGGTTGATGAATTGATAAGTGGTTGCCATTGAGAGCTAGGATACAAACCAACTGCCAAACAAACCAGCATTACTGTTTTACCTGTTTGATTGGTATTTGTCCCTGAGGGGAAATATGATGAATGAGAAAGGAAGAAAGAAATGGCCTTCAACGCATGGCATTGTTCATGCTTCACTTTGGTGTGGATTATTGTTTATTTGTTTGCAACCATGCAATTTATAAGGATGCATCTTTTCCAAAAGAATTCCTCGGCTCTGTGTTTCACATAGTTCAGTGGATATTTGGATGTTATTACCTTGTAGTTTATGTCAAGTGCATAGTTTCTTACTTAAAGAGTCACGTACTAAAAAACGCACAATAACAAAATACCTTGTGGTATAATTAATTGTGAAGGCCTTTTTTCTATTCAATCTGCCATTTTGCGAGATAGATACCATTGTCTCTGTAAATTGGGTAATGCATTTTTTTGCCTTCATCCAACCAATATATGGAACTAACGTCTTCCATCATAAAGGAGCTCAAAAGGTACATTGTCATATTGGTTTACCATGAATATTGCACTTTAGTAGCTCTGTGGTATTCATAATGGCTGTATGATTATTCTCAATTTTTTAAAACAAATAACAATTGTCATTTCTATCATATTTGCCTTGAAACAGCCAGTTATACAGCTATTCAGTAAAGTAATTCCTGTAATATTTTTACCAAATACCACTGAAGGTTGTGCCAGAGGCATTAAGTTTTTGGTCCTGCTTTCTCATTATCTTGATACATTTATCTCGATATCTCAAGAACCACTTGATGAACTGCAAAATTAGCAGTGATAGAATGATCACCATACAAAGACGATCTGATCAGATATTGGTGTAAGTAGGTCAAAGGTCAAAGGTCATAGAGGTCAATTTACAAAATAACAGGTTTTAGCCTCATTTATTGCGATATGTTGAGAACCACCTGAGGTATGAACTTCAAAACTTGTGCAAGTATGTATTACCATAAATATAGGAAGACAAGCTGATTACATTTTGGGTATGTAGTTGAAATTAGTGCTGTAACATCACGGATATCTCCAATTCCGTTTAACCGCAAGTCAAAACCGGACGGTTTTCGGTTAAACGATTTAAAACAAAAACAAAAAAATTATTTAAAAAAATTTAAAAAAAGTTTTTTTTTTTTTTTTTTTTTTTTAACCGACTCTGTCGGCAACTTTCATTTAACTGCGAGGTACATTTAAAGGGGCCGATTTGTGCTTGTGAACTTGTCACAAATAATAGTAACAATGTTGTTTTTAGAAGAATGTGTAAGATCATTAATGTAAATTAAAAACAGTAGAGGACCTAAGACAGAACCTTGTGTAAAGGTTGGATGAATTATTATTATAAACTACATATTGAGATGATGAGATCTATTACAAAGATTACTTTCAAAGTTCAAACCAAGATGACAGACAAATTGGAGTGTTGTTCTAGTTTTGGAGTGGTGAGTCAACACACAGATTACTGAGCTGGGAGACATTGCCAGGCATAGTGCCAGGTGGAGGGGCATAAATCGAAACTTTAAAAAAAAAATAAAAAATAAAATAAAAAAAAAAATCGGGAAAACGAAACCGTCCAATTGAAAACGGAATCCGCCATGGGCGGTCGGATACCGGACGGTTAAACGTTTGACTACAGCACTAGTTGAAATATCAAAGGTAGTACAGTAAATTTCAATAAATTTCAGGGTTTTAGCCCTGTGACCGTGATATCTCATGAACTGCTTGGTGTACGTAAACATGCATCACCATAGTGAGATAAAAAGATAACACTTTGGGATAAGTAGGTCAAAGGTCAAGTGTCACAGAGGTCAATGAACATGAAATGTTCAGAGTTTAAGACTTTATTCATTGGTCTCTTTGCGAAAAGCAAGAGGCCCTAACTTTATTTTTTAAACTTCACATTTGAAGTAGCAGTGAATTTGTTTTACCAAATTCTATCATTGATCAGCTTGGTCAATTCACTCTTAATAGGAAACCTTGTAGCCAATATACTTCATCCATTTTCAGTAATATTGATTACAACAGGTTTATTTTTGTTGTTCACTTTGCTCCTTCCTGCTGTAGAATTCCTTGGAAAGATGCTTGGCACGTTTCCAGGGTACCTCATCCAAGCTCTACGAATCTCCTACACCAGAGTCCAAGCCAGTTAGTCGCTTCCCTATACCAGAGCGAGAGACACTGCCAGAGGACATTCAGAGAATCATGAAGGAGGTTGAGAAACAGGTAAGAATACAGGAGGTTCATTGAGCTCAGAGGATTTTTCTGCTGTATAGTGATAAGTCTTTACTATGAATTGTTGTATGTATTACTCTTCCCCTTACCAAAAAGAATATAGTGTCAAACTAAAGGTGACCATTTAGATGTTTTGACACCATGTTCATACTTTCACTCTGTGAGACTCAGGGTGACAAACTTGTATTGTGACACACTATCACTCCCCTGTGACCACTGATTAAAGTTTGAAATTGTCATAACGTTGATTTACAGTGAAAATTGGAAACAAAATTATAGTATTTTTGGAATCAGCTCTGATTCATACCTTAAACATCTAGCTCTATAAAGGGAAAGGAAATTTGCTACATGAGATGCATCATACAGTAAATAGGCCACATCATTTCATCCTCTAAAGTTCAATATATACACACACATGCCTAGCTGACACAATATTGAATAAAAAAAAACCCATATATAATGCAAGAGCACAGTATGCAGATAGGGAACAGGGAAGGAGAAACCTTTAAAGGAGAAACTATTAAAACAGAGTAGGGAGCATCAGGAAGACTGAGCAAAAATTGTTAATCCGAAACAAAATTTCACACATGTATATATAAATAATTTCACAGGGTGCAGAATCAGATTCATTTATCCTTATTACCAGGTCCCTTGGAGAGGACCTATTAAGCCGTCTGTCCTCTGGTTGCCTACTAACAAGCATTTACGCTTCCTTAGCAGTCAGTACTTGCTATGTGGTATCTTATGAGTAGTCTCTATAGCAGACTCCAGTTGTTTTGTGACTTGATTAAGGCTTGACCACGGTTATATTAATTTGGGTTACAATATTTTGGGTAAATATCTCTCCAAATTCTTTGATTCAGGGTGTAAAGGTGTTGGACTACAATTATACGAGTTCACACACTGCACCATACCTTAGCTTTCAACTGAGCTTAATTACACAGTGTCATGCAGTTTTAAATTTCAGAACAATACCGGCAAATGTTTTTTTTTCTTCACAACGGACGAACGGTAGCTCTTAATTGGCTGAAAAAAATGGTTTATGAAATGCACATAATTCACCATGTACCGTGCAAGATGCATTCTGTACTTCATCCAATCCCCAGCATTTCATCCCCCTAACCTTGCTGTTCTATTTTTGTGTAGTCTTTATTCAGATGGTACACAATTTTATTTTGTAACTACAACCAGATGGTGAGTGGTGTGTTGACGGTGAGTGTTATGCTATAGCTGGAGGAAAGTTGTCAACAGATTGGTATAGCTTGCAAGTGATCTAGGCTTTAGCTCAGTGATGTGAGAAACATGTTCTCTAGTCCATACAGTTCAGACCCTGTGCATAGAAAGTGAGTTTTATGGATTGAAGGTGCCTTGGAGCAGCCTCTGTTTGAAAAGAGAGCTTTTTCAAAGAGGTCTTTAAACACAGGCTAGGAAGATAATTTTCACATTCATGTATTAACACTAATACCAACTAAATTTTACACAGGTCTATGAGAAAGCAGTGTTTTTATGTCATCATTGCATATTAGCAGATATGACAAATAGATTAATATTAAAGGTAATACAAAGTTTTGGGAAATTTTGAAAATTGGGTGGATAGTGAATCTTTACAATTTCGATATATTTAGATGCCCCTGTGGATGTTTTATAAACACTAAAAAAAATTAACCCCTAAAACACTTCTGTTTTCGAGAAAAATTGAGTATAAAAATTTACTGGTTCTCCCGGTAAATTTCGATAAATTTCAAATAACGCCTACGGCTGTACAATGGTAGCTGCGACCATGAAAATCTCAGAATATGTAGTTGTGACATATAATTTCCAAACGGGAATAGCTAATGGGTTGATTTTAGTCAAGAAACATTGTTTCATTGCTAAATTGATATCTTGACCTTGAGAGGGAGCTATACAACATAAAGAGTTTATTATTCATAATTTCATAACTTTAAACTCGATTTCAACCGGGACAACAATCAATGAATATTGTAGGAACGCATATGCTGCCAATATGTTAATTTGAACCAAATTCATGACCCCATACCAAAACTTTATAATACCTTTAACAACAAATGTGTTTTATGGATGCATGAGGCCAGCTAGGTCAGAACTCAATTGCTCTAAACCTCATTATAAGTCCAAATATCTGTTATTTTTACAATGTACTCCATAATTTGTATTACTGGGTTGTAATTGTAATCTTGTCATGTCTAAAATAGTCCAGAGGCATTTCTCTCTACTTTGTTTTCATTCCCCTTGCATGATAGGGATGGCGGAGCGGAACAATCACCTCAGTGATTGAAAATGACTTGTTATATAAAAACAGATATAACAAAAATATCTGTAGGGCAGAAAGCTTGTTAGTCATTTTTAGATAAGAAATTGCCAGCATTCCTGAAATAGCACCAAAGTCCCATGATAAGTAGGCAGAGTTCAAGCCAAGATGTTGGCTTCTATGTGAGCAGGGGTATATATTTACAGCATCTGTCATCATCCCCTGTATGATACAGTGTATAGTGGTCAAGGACAAGTTCTACCAGCTGTGTGCTAGTCTTACTTTGTAGTCTCTATTGGCATTGCTTTCAAGTTCATCTTGGAAAGCCATGATATATACCAGACAGGTTATAGATAATAGATATACATTTATAAATATATATATAATTTATAGAGGTCGAGAAAATACACAAAAATACAAGAAATAATATGATTCTCGATCCTTACACAAATATATTGTTTCCCAAATTTTCTCCCTTTAAATAGAGCTTTGTCAATTAAGGATGTTAATTATTTGACTTTGAAATTTTGTATGCATCAATATATGCGCATCGTATCCCAGTAAAATGTGCTAATAAGGCACAAGGAGAGAAGACACAAAGAATTATGTCTCAGAGAAAAAAGAAGGCAGCAAGAAAGTAGAAAGAGGTATAAAAATACATCATAAAAAACCAAAGGAAGACACAGAAGGAAAGTATATAGGAGAGAGGACGTGAATAATCACATCAGTAAAGGAGGAAGAAAACATATATGACAGGGCAGAGAGAGAGAGAGAGAGAGAGAGAGAGAGAGAGAGAGAGAGACAAAGCCAAGATGTAGAAAAAAGTCAAGAAAGGGAAAATGAGTGGAAAGTGACATTGAGACCATACGGCTGTAAGCATCCTACTCTGTCTTAGTTTCCCAACATATATCTATGAACAATCTCTAGATTAATATAATAATAATAATAATAACTTTTACTTATATAGCGCTTTTCATAAGACATTTATATCAAAGCGCTTTACAATATTGATACAAGTAAAATTAAACAGAGTAATGACAAGAGAACAAATTTAAAGTGAAATTATGAAACATAAGATAACAAGGTAAGGTAACAATTTAAGAACTAGGTTGAATATGCATTTTCCATAAGGTAGGTTTTTAATTTTGATCTAAACAAAGTAATATCAGAGATGCAACGAATGGAGGCTGGAAGATTAACGGTGCCCTGATAATCACAAGTGTGCACTACAAGTATACTGATGCCCATTGCTTTCTGAACTTCTCTTCTACACAATCACATCCACCTAGCCTGCAAACCGACCTTGCTGCCTGTACAGTGATGAAGACTTTCGAAAACGATCAAAGGAAATGGCTGGTTTCTTCTGCCAAAGAGGCTATATACCTAGATCAGGTGATCAGACAAGCAGCTAATAAAGTTTCTTCCATAAGTCGACAGCAGGCTTTGCAACCCCAAACTAAGCAGCGCTCAGATCGTGTTCCACTAGTTCTTACATACTATCCAGCTACTGCTAAATTTGAATCTGCCATATTGGTCGACAACACTTGTATCCTTCAACAAGATGCATCAACTCTAGAACTCTTCAAGCAAGGCTGCCGCTGGTAGCATACAAGAAAGACCCAAGTTTAAGACATCTCCTTGTCTGTTCAGGTTGACACCAGATGCCCCAGATAATAGATACCGGATTGACACTTCAAAATGCAAGAGGGGCTAGAAGATGTGCCACCTGTGCCCATGTCAGTGATGCTACTCATCTCAATGGGCCTATAAGCTCATATGGTACATTAATGACAAGTTCTCACGCACTACTTCCAACATAATCTATGTGATTATCTATACCGCCTTGTTCAAAAATAAAGGTTGGGGTGACCATTGACCTAACACAAATGGACTTTTGATGAATGTGTTAGGTCCATTGGGGTAACTAAGAGCGCGTTTATCTAGGCTTGCCCCCGGCCCCCCCACTCAAAGGTCGGAATGACCGCATGCGTGTTGCCAAAATGTCCGGTAAAGGGGTATTTTTCGTGCGACAAAGTCCGGCCCGAGAATTGTAAAAAAAGGGGTGTATTTGACTTTCCACCCTGAGATTTCTTTAAAAAGGGGGTGTTTTTCTCTTTTTCTCTCATCTCTTTGGACTCCTGAGAAATTATTCCGAATTTAGGGGGGTACATTGAGCATTTTTCCTGATTTAGGGGGGTCTCCAAGGCAGGAAAAGCCCGCGAAAAGCCCGCGAAATGGGGGTTTGGAAATGTTGGCAGTCCTCAGATAGGGGGTGCTTTCAAAAAGAGGGTACGAGCATATGCGTACCCTAAATAACACTGAGTGGGGGGGCCGGGGGCTTGCCACTAGATATGTACATATCGTACCCCACTATCGAACCCCACTATCGTACCCCACTATACGATCGTGATTTGCGGGATGTCGCATTTATCGACCCTTCACGATTCAAAATAAAGGCCTTGTGTCTGCCCAGCTGTTTTGACCCGGGAAGCAGACAGTCAGTTCTCGGAGGTCAACTTCACACGTATGCATGTACACAACACCTGGGTGGTCATATTTGTATGTGAGGTTCAAAACAGCTTTGCGTTTATCGATCTCTCAGAAACGTGATTCTGGCTGTATGTCACATTCAAAACGCACCTTTTTGCGTCTTTAGATATGCCCATATCTAAAGACGTTTGAAAAAGGCTTTGCGTTTATCTACTTCTAAATTTGCCTGAAA